CCCCGGGCCCCGCGCGCCTCCCCGGCACCACAGTCGGAAGGTCGCGAGCGGCTCTGCCGCTTCAGCAGAAAAGAAGCCTTTCGCGTCCGCCGTCTCCAGCTGCAAAAGTGCAGCGCCGGTGCCCCAGCGCTTCCCCCTCCGCCCGGCCTCCTGCCTATCTCTTCTTTTTTTCTTAAAAGAGGAAAACTCCAACAACACACAAAGAGCTGAGCATGTGCAGCAAGCAAAAGTCTTAAAGGCACCGCAGTTCGACCACGTTGCGGGGTCTGCAGGGGCTGCGAGGGGGGCGGGGGCCGGGCGGCGCGGCTCGCGGGGCAGCGGCCGCGGAGGGACCTCTCCCGGGGGGGCCATTTCTTGCGCGGAAATTATGCCCCCCGCCCACAAGCAAGAGCCCTGAGCTTCCGCGCCTCTGCACGCCAACCCTTCCCGAAGCGGCCTCGGAACCCAGGTATCTCCTTCTCTGCCAGCCAATGTTTCCTCCTCCATCTGGGACGTTATTCTGCCTCGAAAAATATTGCAACATCGGGGCTTTTTTCAGAAGAGCACAAATGCCCAGAAAAGAGCCTGTCTCATTCCTCAGCAACAATCTTTCCTCATTTAGATACTTTCCAAGATTTGATGGCATATGCTGAAAGTCCTGCTTTCTACTTTTGTGACTCTTTTAAATCGGCTGTGTGACCCCTGAGCAAGGAAACCTAACCTATGTTGCTGCAGTGTAGGTTCCAGTGACAGGAGCGATGCAGGAGCCCCACCGAAGAGCTGAGTACGAAAAAGAATGCACTCTACCAAAGGCAGTTCTGACAGCAAAAGAAGTTTCTCGTGTGACCACACCATGTTAAGACGCCATGCATGTTTATTTGGGACATAATGTTCCCACGTCGTCTCTTTTAATCTCCTTTATCCCACTTTGCCGATGAAATCCTCCATGAACCCCATTTTACAGATGAGAAGAGAAAGACTCGGAAAGGTTGAAGCTTTGGCGGTAGCAGGTTCGGAGGAGCTAGTGAACCCAGCTCTGGACACAAATCCTGTGACTTCCGTGTTCTTTCCACTATTTACCAGGCTGTTTCTATTAGCAGATGCTTTGTTCTACTTTGGTGAATAAAATGTAAGTGTTGGCTTGGCTTGCAAATACCTCAGCAGTGACTTAAGGAGGGGAACGGCGGTCCAAAAAGAGGTGGCTCCTCGAAAGTGAAAAAATCTTGGTTTTCTTTATATAACAAACAAGTCACAATTCCTCCATGATGTCAGTACCAGAAATGACATCCTCAACTGTAAAATTAGGACAGCCCCTTCTTCTTTTCACCTTGTCCCTATATGGGGGTGCTCTTTGGAGACTGCTTGGGAAGAGAGATGAAGGGGAGGAGAACAAAAGACTACTGTTCCAGGTTACACCTTTTCATTTCCCTAGCTATCCCAAACTGAAGACCTTTCTAGTATTAACTGCACAAGCAAGATCTCTACTGCCTTCTCATGCTTCCCATGCCAGCCGGTTTAAAGTCAGCACATCTTTCTCACATCTAATGTACAGTTGCTTTCAGACACCTGGAAAGTGGCCAAGCTCTTGAAAACATCAGTAAGGGTGCAACTGTTTCAAAGGGTACATTGGAACCCCTTTTAACAAGAGAGATCACTGCTGAGCTATGAAGTGGCTGTAGCCTACATTCCAGCAAAGGATTTTCCCATTAAAAATATATCTTTTAATCTTATAACCACTCTCATCAGCTCAGTACTTCGAGTTATACTGAAGGACATGCAGCCACACAGACCTCCTCTCAACATTGTCGTTAGAATCAAGCTGGATATGTTAATCCTATATAAAATTGGTCTCATAAGGATCTCACAGGATTTCCACTTGGCCTATATCCTACTTTGTCTTTTAAATTCTTTTAGTCAACATTGACTGAATAGCTATTAGGAATTTAAGCAAGAGAAAACAAAGATGAATAAAACATGATTTCTATCCATGGATAAACTTTTCTTCCATTAGATGCACTAAGTTAGAGGCTCCTTATACAGATGAGTATATGTAAAATAGCAGAAATTTTACAAATGTAGACATGGAAAACTTTAATGATTTATTAGAGTGGTTGCACACAAAAAGTGAGTGATAAAGCTTGCCTACAATCTTGACCAGTGTTTTAGTATCGCCTATGATCAAGAATTTTTAAAATTCCAACATGATATTGCTTTTTTTCCCCCAAAGGAGTCTGCATCCCAGCAACCCTATAAAAAATCATAATAATTCACAGTATTTCTAATAGCAGTCATAAATCTAGCAGAAAATGGAAAATATACTCCAAAAAGGTAGTTGAGGAAAAGTCAGTTTTACTGAAGCAGGATGAAACTGTTAAGGTCAAAATTATCTATTTAAAATGTCTTTCTGGAGAAAGATAAGGACAGTATCTTTGTTTTTTTTTTCCACAATTACCTTTATCAAGACCTTTACATCTTTGGAGAGATGTATTTCATTCCATTCACCCACAATGGGGTGCTAGAATATGATGAGCAAAAACCTGAGATTTCACATCACCAAATTGTTTGAGGGAAATTTAAATGATTGCTTAAAAGAACAAGTGAAATAATAAAACCACAGATCTTTTGATTGCTACTTAAAAAGTAAAATATCCTATTTGGACTAAATGAACCAAAGCAGCCCCTTCTCAGTTGCTTGACTGAAGAATGAGCTCTATTCTGGTTATTGTTCACCATCTGACTCACACAAGGCTTCTGAAAGATAATGAGGGCTGCAGATAGCCTGGCCCGACAGCCAGAAGTGCATTCATTCAAAGGTATAACTGGGGCAGTATTTTTAACATTGAGAGAGCATCAGTAGTCTGTGAGGTTAGAGTACTAAAGAAAAATCAATTTTAGGTACTTATTTTAAAAATTATTGATGGTATTAAAAATGTTTACATGGCAAAGATCTGAACACCATCTCAACTAACACCACTTAGTGTGCTTTCTGTTGGATTCATCCTTTTCTTCTTTGGGTTTCTCTTGCTCTCACACTTGCAAACACACACATACACTGTGATCCTGCCAATTTTTCTACTTAACACATTTCAAACATATTGTTATAAGTAAATCCAAGGAAGTAAATCCAAAGATTCTAAATTCACTATGCTGAGCTAAGACATTTTTTTAAGCTGAAAATAAAATGAGCATCCTTAAATTTGTCATTCTAAATACTCAAATGCGTTACCCAAAAAAAGTTGATTGCTAGTAGCCAACTACAGAAATTTGTCTTTTGTGAAATTTAATTCAACAAAGATATGGACTAGGACTACTTGCCTGTTAAATATTGTGTATTAAGTATGTGAGTTTACCTCTGCTCCAAACTCTACCAACATGGAAAGGTTTTTATCCTGTTAATTTTAAAGATATAAACCCATAATGACAAAATGAAAAAAAAAAAATAGTAGACGAGGAGTGTCTAGGCATTTGGAAATGTCTAGGCATCCGAGGGAGGAAAGTGAACAGAGAAGTGATAAGTAAATCATAGGTGTCTGCAGAGATGAATAAAATAAGCAATAGTCTAGGAAAGACTCAGGTCAGAGAGGCAAGAGGTACCTTTGACAGTATGGTGGGACTCTGGGATGAAAACAAGGAGGGAGCCGAAGGACAATGAAGTACCTGTTGTCTCCTTCCTGATCCCCAAGCAAATAAAAACTATCCCAGATGGGGTGTTACTCTTTTGAGAAATTGAATCAGAGCAGCTCTGGACTTTGGGAAGGAAGATGTGAGGTACAAAGCTGAAAATAAAGACATGTGAAAACCTATATATTAAATAGTCATATTTCCCTCCCTCCATTTCCTACATGTTTCCAGAACATCTATAGTCAATGGAATAACCTTCAGGCAAGAAACTCAATATCTATATGCAGAAATTGAAAAGTCTAAGAGAAACGTTACTGTCATTTGGAATCTTTCAACCAGTAGCAATTTGACCTCTAGAACACCCTGCAGTGAAACTCAGTCTTTTTAATCCAGTCATTTTCAAATGACTTTCTCTTAAACACAGATAATGAAGGTTC